AGCTCCCCTGGGCAACCCGTTCCAGTGCCTCACCACCCTAACAGTAAAGAACTTCCCCCTTATATCCAATCTGAAATTCCCCTGTTAAAGTTTTAACCTGTTACTCCTTGTCCTATCACTACAGTCTCTAAGGAAGAGTCCCTCTCCAGCATCCTTGTAGGCCCCCTTCAGATACTGGAAGGCTGCTATGAGGTCTCCATGCAGCCTTCTCTTCTCCAGGCTGAACAGGTAGAATAGAATATCAAGTCTTGGGCAACCCATGCAATAAACAATAGAGGCAATTATTGTGGTGCTGCAGTTACTGAAAGACCTTGCTGACAGAAACCTTACAATAAAGCAGTGAGGTTGTTTGGTTTTTAAACCAAAGCCCTCCTTAAAATGAGCAAAACGTGAAACAGCAGAACTCCTTGACCTTCAAACATCACTGCTGGTTTATGTTTATTAGCAGACAATGTGCTGATGTCTTCTCTAAAGCATTTTTAGGTGGTACATAGCAAGCAAATCTAGAATTTCACTAACACAATCTTTCTTGGGATACTGAAGATAGAGATCCAGGAGTTATTTCTCAGTGATGGTATAGGCTTAGTCAGTTCTTTCATTCCTGTCTTCTCAGTTCTTATGATTTCTTGAGCAGAGTAGCATGGTGAGCGAGAGTTAAGAACTCATTTGAGCAAAACCCGACCACTCGTTTCCTTGCTAGGAGGAAGGCTGTGTTAGTCCAAAAGGCTCTGTAATGGAAGTACACTTTTGCTTAAGTATTGCATGTATTACAGTGGATAATTTTGCACTCTCTTCCTATGGGTAGGATCAGTAAATCCAGTGATGTTTCCTAGATTGGAACACAGGGTAGATTAGGCTCCTTTTTTCATTTGTTCACTTATTTAAACCATCCTGTCCCCAAAAAACACAGCAGTGAGAAGCAGAACTCCAAAGAAATATTAATAGTGGGGAGTACAGAAAAATAGAGTGATTTTTTTGAATGCCAGTATTGCAAAGTTTTGTTTAGTTCCCTGGATCGAAGTTAAACAGAAGAATAGCAGAATTAGGAATTTTTGAGGAAAGCATATTTTTTCACTGTGCTTGAGTGAAACTGCCTGTTCTAAACTTGCATTATAAACTTTTTGTATATAATTAGTGCCTGCAATGTTTCAAAATGCATTTATTTAGAAATGCAAATCTGTATAATCTAAGAATTTGTTGAATAGGGATTCTGTAGTTGGCACAGACAAAAGGTGGGGTTTTTGAGACAGGTTTTGCCCACAAAGCATTGAAACTGATTTTCTATCCTCATTCAAAATATGACTTTATTTCTTGTGTAGCTCTTCTTACTTCTTAAATAAGTTTGTTGTTGTTGTTGTTGAGGCTGCAGAGCAAAGTAAAAGTGTAACCAGGTGCATTAATTAATGAAAAGAGGAAAAATATTTTAAAATAATTATACCTTTATTATTATAATAAAACTGGTGACTTTTTAAATTCAGGAGTCCATTCATATAAAATCCCCATTGTGTAAGATTGTCCTTTTATTATGTGACAAGCTCTCTTACTAGATAATATCTTGCCATCTGTGTGTTGTCTCCACATGAGGTCTTGAGTAATATGTTCTTTCAGAGAACACTGCAATTGGAGCTTGGGTTATGGTTTACTATGGTAGTCTTTCAGAGGAACCTATTGTCAAGAGGATACGGGGTTTATGATGTTTTTTAAAAAATTGAATATTTTGAAATGCTTGCATTTGTCACTGATTTGCTGAACAAGCACTACTCTCAGCTTAGTTTTAAAGGGGAAAAGTTCCCATTCCATACTCCTTCTTCAATGTTACAATAAAAATCAGAGAATAATAATTCATTCAGAATCTCTTCCAAACACCTGGTTAGATTTGACTCACTTTTTTTTTTTTCTTCCCACCACTATGATTCAAAGTGAGCTTTAAAAACTCCTATTCGTCTGCATCTAAAGTAGAATCTGAAGAGTAAGGGACAAGGAATGGTTCCCACACTCTATACTAGAGCCTTTGTAGGCTCTGTAAAAGAAGTAAACCAGGAGGGGAGACAACCACATAAGACAGTTTAGCTTTCTATAAAAATTGCTGGGTAAATATTTTTCTAAGATCCTAAATTAGATAAATATTTATTGTTCTTTGACATATTGTGTAGTAAAATATTTTTTTCCCCTTGAACGATCTTTATATTGCTATAATAATATGTGTTGTACCTTTTGAGGAGAAATGCATTAACATTTATTAATAGTAGTTGTCGCAGGAAAACTCTCACTGAGTTATCATCTCTTGTCATAGCATACATCTGGAACAGAGTGTTATTGAAAGGATTTTGTGTTATGTATCTAGTTTTGCTTGGTTGCTCCACTTTAGCCATCTGCCAGAAACAGTTTAAAGTTTAAATCAAAGAATTCCATCTCCATAATCTTAAATTAATATCTTCAGTGTATATCTTGTTTCGTATAATTTTATAAGTTCCACTATTTTTTTTGCCTGTTATCTTATTGCTGTGCTTCTGCACAGTTCATTGCATAGAAGAGCACATTGATGTCAGGACTTCTGACTTGTAACTCCGAAGTTTTAGCTCCTTAATAAGGCACCAGATGCATAACAAAGGTAACCCTTAACCTACTCAGAGAGCCCCTGGGATCCTTCCTCTGCCTTTTATGTGCAACCTTCTCTGTATTAATGTCTTAGATTCAATTTGTTCAGGTTGAAGCTGAGCACACAGAGTCAATTTTTATTTGCCTTGAGGGTTTTGTTAAAAATGTGGCAGAAATTATTTAACAATTAAGGCAAACTGATTGAAGGTTGCAAAACTGATTTCATTGAAAAAAAAATAAAAGATTACCAGTGCTATTAGGCAAAGAATGCCAATAAAATATTGAATCGCTTGTGCAAATAGCATAGCTGCTTTTAAAGGTGCAGATAAAATTCCAGTAACTCAAAGGACAATTTCTCTGTATTAAGGCATATATTAATTGTATTCAAGTGTACTTGAGATAGTATTTCAGCAGTAAGGTATGTTCTATGATACTACTGTCATTTACTCATGCAGGATGCATGCTTCTATAAAATCACCTATATTACTGTGTAAGGGCTAGCTTTGTGGTAGTGATCTGGTTTTAGCTGGGATAGTTGATTTTCTGCTTTCTGTCATGGTGGTGGAAGCCAGTTTTTTGGTAAGAAGACTGGGCAGAACCAAGGGATACAAGGATTCACTTTGCAGATTGGCTTCTGTATTTCAGTGTGGACAGGCACAGGAGACACTGTTACAGGCTGATAAAATGGAGTACTTCTGCAAATGTGCTTACGTGATTAAGTGGTAGCTGAGTTCTTCAGAATTTGACTTCTGGGATTTGCCTTCCCAGTTCTACAGATGAGAGATGTTTTCAGCATTTCTGTGTGGGTCTCCTCTCAATGTTAGTGCCTCCTCCAAGGCAGGCCTGTCTCTTGCTGCTTTTGTACTAGTATGTTCTGAATATGAATCTTTGATCTCAAGTGGTATCACTACTACCCCTAGTTGTTTTCTTTGTACAAATAGTAAATGGTAAAGGTCACTGGCAGCAGAATGCTGGGCTCAAAATACTTCCAGTCCAGCGTCACTGAAGTGCATTTTTAAGTTATTCCTGAATTGCATTTACCTTGCAAGTAGAGCTTTGTTACTTCAAGAATACATGCTTCATGTAATTTTTAATGGAAAAATGACTGAGACACAGAAGGTTGCTAGGTGTAACATTTCCAGTTTCTCCTTTCACTATGCAGCATTGTCTAAACTTAGCATTTACTTTAAAGAGCACTTGGTTACAATCTCTTCCTTGTTTTTCTTTTTTGTGTTTTTTTTATTATTTTTATTTTTAATTTTTTAATTTATTTTAAGACAATAAGAGCATATTCAGGTCCTCGGCTTCTTGGAAAGCTGACTGATTTGTGAAAAATTATTGCAATTTATGACAGCCACCTGCTCTCTTGGTCATAGATTAATAACACCTGACCAAGCATGAAAACATGCTGAGGCCATCTGCTTCTCCCCATACCGGGGAGCATTGCAGTGTTGTCTTATTAACTGCACAGCACAGCATCCCATTGAGAACTATGTTATCAGTTCTGTGCAACCAGCTATTTTGAGAGTATGTGGAATCTGTTCACAGATGACTTTGGCGAACAATGTTTTTGTCTGGACTTCTGTGTGTTTTTAAAGAGGGTTTATTGTTAGTTAATATTCCACAGAGATTGTTATTAAACCTCTTTGAATGAACTGCAGGGATCCTGTGTCTCTGAGCATGTCTCACAGGACTGCCTCTGGATTATATGTTTTTGCTTAATTCTGCAAAGTGCTAAAATATGTATTCAACTTTAAGCATAAAAATGGCCTTATTGAAATAACTATCAGGATTGAACAAAAATGATCACTAAATTATATTTTTATTGTTATTTGAAATAAAAGAAGTAAAATCTTTCTTGGAACTCAGATTCCACCAAGATACCTGTAACAAGAAGACTATGAACAAGTGGTGTTCATATGCAAAAGTAACATAGCTGAAGTGCTTAAGCAACAGGAAAAGGAAGTAAAGAAATGTTAGTGTCATATTCATGTGTGTGCTCTTATTTGCATTTGATACACAGCTTCTTTTATGGTCAGTGGACAAGAGATGATTCATTTAGAGGGAACTTCAGCTGAGGGGAAAGAAAGTGATTGAAAGTAAAGTGAAATTGCAAGTAATATGACTTTAAGTTCATTCTTAGACATAAGGCATTGTTCAATTTAAAGTGCAATGTAAAAAATATATTTTCACCCTAACCTAAGCAAGCATTGTGTACTGAAAATTTGCACAATGTAATTCTCTCGATGATGGATTTCATTTAATTATAAAAAATTAAGTGCTTATAAGTTTTATATTACACAGTGTATTTTTATGCTTTGGTAAATACTCTTGTGATATTTAGTCCCATTTGTATAGCAACTTTTCAAAACACGAGTCATTCTGAAAAGTTTATGTTCTAGAAAGACAGGAATTGCTCTCTGTCTGGAAAAGAGAATCAAAAGAGAACATTGATCAGTTTATGAAGGTAAGAATGATCTTAACGCAGTATATCCTGCCAAAATAGTTTTCAAATCCAGGGAATTCATTCTTATTCACGAATGGAAATGAAAAATGCAGGGGAATGACTTTGCTGTCACCCTTTTTCTGCTGCCTCCTCAAGAGCGCCCACCCCACCTCCCCAGGTTGTGATTTCATTTCACAACTGAAGGCAGGCAGCAAATTGGTTCAGACTGATCCCAGTGTCTTGTGTATCTTACTGTCTGTTTTTTAACTTTCATTAAAAAAATAGTATCACTCAGGTCAAAGAAAACGGGTTAAATGCATGACAGAACTAGCTGAATGTTGGTCTGATGAAATAGATTTCTGCTGGGAATAGGACTCTAATGAAATGTGAATCTCTTAAAATTAAAGGTAATTAATTAATTTGCCTTTACTTTTGCATTCTAACAAAAATTGGAATGTCTTTTTTTTTTTTTTCCCCAAAATGGAGCATTGGAATTACAGTGGGAATATTATAACCTTAATGAAATAACTGATTGTCTTAAAAATAATAAAGAATTGGTACTGTATAACTTGGGATTAAATTGTATTTCAAGTCTCAGAAGTTTTCACTGAATGAAAATTATTGGTGCCTTTTTTTTTTCTTTTTTTGATGAGCACAGCTAATGAAGATAAAAGCCTAGGTACCTAGAGTAGCTAGAATAAGTATTGTTCTAGTATGCTCACTGTTCATACATATTAAGCTACATTTCTCCCATCTTGACACACTTGCTAGTCTCTTAAGTGAACAAGTTTAAAGATAGTTCATATTCTTAGTCAAACAGCGTTGAAGAGTGGGAAGGATATAGGACTGTGAGTTTTGTTAACTCTTGAATCCTGTGTTGGCCTGCCTCTGACGAAGAATTAGAGGAATGGTATTGTTGCTTCCAACAGGCTTGCTGTTCCTTTTTTCTCATAACTCTGACTTCTGCTTCCCTCTTTTTCCTTCTGCTTTATAGGCTACTTCTTCTTCATCTTAAACAGGTGACAGCTGTATCTGACAACAAAATGCCTTTCTAGCAGTCCGTGTAGGTTTTGGGTTTGCTTTCAAACTTCTTACATTTGACACTCTGGGGCTGGTAAAACCCTAAGATTAGATGTAGTTTTGAGTAACTTTTATCTGCCTTATAGCATTTACAGATTGTTCCCACACACACTAAAATATTCTCATTTGAAATATTTTTTCTCTATTTGGCAGATCACAGGGGAACCTGCTTGTTCTGTCTCAAACTGTTCTCATTCTCTGGCTGAGAAGAGCTGTTTACCACACCTCCTTCAAGATGGGAATTAAGTTAACAGCCTCAGTTTTCCTAGTATCTCTGCAAATATACATTAAATGTCCAGCTTTTGCTGTTGTGATCAAATGCCACATACGTTTCTTTTTATATGCTTCCAGGATGCAGGGACTCTTATTACTCCTTTCAGAGGATCTTTGGATTTGGCCTTTATTTGGAGAATATTCTACAATTTTGACTTGTTAACTATATAGATTATCTGTTATGCTTTGTTTTTAATTATTGTGGCTTACTGAGCTCAAGGCTTTTAAATTAGAAAACCATATGAAAATAGTTATGCAAAGAAAACTGAAAATGTCAAGTCTTCTCTGCTTAGGGGTTTGTATTTCACAAGTGGGCTCTAATATGCTGACATTTCAGTCTAGGAACCCACTGGCTAGCCTTGGGTGAGTCTGCAGGCATCTGCAAGCTTTCTGTGTATCCCCCAAGCACATTGTCAGATCCATCAGACTTCACTTCTTGGTCTATCTTCTTGGCTCACACATTTTTTCAGTGTGAAGTCGCTACAAATCTTAAGCTTCTAGCCTATTTACTTTTGAACCAGTGCTGTTTTGCAGTTTTTTCTTTGTGTATAGAAGCATGTTTTGAAACTAGGTAAAGACTGTGTATTCTTCTACTTTAAAACTAATGCTCTTCCAGTCTTATTTCATATGCTTTTTGTTGATGAACTTAGTCAGTTGACAGTTCCCACTGCAGTTTCCCATTGCAAGGTTTTGCTACATAGAAAAAAGCTCCCTGCTTTGTTTTTCCAGACATTTGTCATCCCCTAAAACTCTCTCAGTGTTGACTAGTGTTATGATACATGTATTGTGATGTGTTTTTGCTGTCACTACCCATGGCCTGTTCAAGGATTTTCTTGACTGTATAACCAGAACTTAACCATTACTTTGGCACTGATTACCTATTGTGCTCCTACATGCAACATGTTAAGTTGATAATAAAATAGATGTGTGTAATAATAAAGGGATAGTTCCTCTAAAGTTGAATGTAAAGAATGCTTTAAGTACTGTAGTTGGTATAGAGTTACTGTTAGAACTAAATGTTTGAAAGGATGTAAGATATATGGTGTTGAATTCATATTTGAATCAATTAATGAGTATTATATAATCTCAGCCTCAGGGTTGGAATCTGGTATTTCTAATGACAGTGATTATGAGCTACCTTTAGGGAAACTGTAAAATGAAGTACTATTCACTGTAAGGAAGAATTGCAGAGCACTTCCTCAAGAGAGTAAATGTAAGCTAGAGATGCACATGTATTAATCTGACATATATTGTTTTAGGGAAATCTGTCTATCTTGCAGTTTATAAATGGATGAGAAGGCCAGGAAAGCACTCAGTAGATTCTCTGCCATTTTCTGAATGGTTGCCAATAATTATGTCTCTTTTTTTAAAAGATCCACAAGTAACTCAAATTGATGAAAATGAGATGTGCCAAATGGTTTGGCAAAATATCAGGTATCTCTGAACATGGCAGTTCCCACTGACCTGCTATATAAAATGACATAATGTGGTGTGACTGACACTGCATAATATTAAGCAGCATGTAGGAAACTGGAAAATACAGTGTTTTCAGGGCCAAAGTAGTGAGGAAATATACGTTCTTGATGGATGTCTACTTAAAAAGAAATCTTGCTGCTTCTGAAATGTCTTTTTGGTCTAGTATTGGAGGACAGAGAAGGGGGCATATAGGGATGCTGGGGATGGACTCTTCATTAGGGACTGTAGTGGTAGGACAAGGGGTAATGGGTTAAAACTTAAACAGGGGAAGTTTAGATTGGATATAAGGAGGAAATTCTTTCCTGTTAGGGTGGTGAAGCACTGGAATAGGTTGCCTAAGGAGGTTGTGAATGCTCCATCCCTGGCAGTGTTCAAGGCCAGGTTGGACGAGGCCTTGGGTAATATGGTTTAGAGCGAGGTGTCCCTGACCATGGCAGGGGGGTTGGAACTTGATGATCTTAAGGTCCTTTCCAACCTAACTATTCTATGATTCTATGATTCTATGATTTTATGTCTGGATATTAGCCTTGGTGCTGATCAGCTAAAAGATGCTGTTGAAGATATTAGGAAAGGTAGTAAATAACAAGATAAACAGTTTGATCTACTTAAGGCCTGTTTTCTTCTGGATAGAGAGGGAGAAAGTAGTGAAATTTCCTTTTATAGACTCAATGAAAAACTTTAAGAAAATCATAATGACATTAACTATTCTCAGAGACTGGGAATCTCTTCTGGATTCAGAGTTTCATGCTTTAAATTAAACAATAATTTCAAGCAATGAGATCAAAATATCCTTTCTCTAATTTGTTAGTGCCTTTTCCCGTGCACTGATCTCACTGACACAAACCAAGCTGCTTTCAGAGCAAGAGGACAAAGGGTGAGAGTCTTGTCTTCACAGAAATGCATGTGCTGGCTTAAACTGAAAAGGATTTACCAGTTATGAGAAGCCAAAGGCTCACCTGTGAAAATGGGCTGATGGAGATGCTTCACCAGCTTGCCCAAATTCCGTAAGAAAAGGTTAGTTGTCTCTGTGAAATACATGGTGAATCTTTTTAATATTTTCATTCTTGTTGTGATTAAAGGAAAGGAATTAGTAGATTGAACCATGTCATACACCTACTTAGACATACACAGTCATATAATGCATCATAGGCTTTCTCCATCACTCACTCTTGTGTAGCATAATCTTTTTCTACTCTCGTTTTTTGCTAGCAGTTGCAGTTCCAGGAATCTTTTAGCTGATACATAGGATGTTTAGGTGGTAGTTACTGGCTTAGTGTAATGAAACTGCTATGGATATTTGCCTCTAAGCTAATTCTAGTTACTGTGTGTTTGTAGAACCTGCTTGGGTGTATGTAGGGTGCATACAGGTGAAACATGACGCTGTACAGATGCAAAGTGGATGAGAATGATTAATCACTTAATTCTTTTTTTTTTTTTTTTGCAAGATTGAAACCTAAGATTACAGTAATTATTTTAAGCTTTTCTTTTCGTGTCTGTTAATATTGAGCAAGCTGTAGTTATTTGTTTTTACTATGAATAAGCAGTTAGATTCTATGGGTGGAATTAGGGGTGGGAAGGGATAATTTTGCAACCCAGGTAATGTAAATGGGCCAAGATTTTTAGAGGTTTTTTTTTTTTTTTTTTTAAGAGGAATTGGGAGGCTTACTTGGTAATTTTTTAATTTTTATTTTTTTATTTTAGCTTATATTTTTAATGTAGCTGCAGTGGAATTTTCTGTTTGACCGGAAGGATATAAACATGTTAGGAAGCTGCTTGCCAGACTCCACTGGAGAACTCATTCATCAGGTTTTCTGCCCAGTCAGGCTGGTTTCAAGTGTCACAAGTGCAAGAAAGCAAGTTTAGCTCCGTCCGGTTTTTAAGAAGTACAAACTACTGTAAAGCCGTTTATTTTCTGACATGAGTAAATGCAAAAGCTCAATTTAGTCTGTTGTTGGTAGCATCATTAAGTCATTAAGTGGTACGGCAACAGCTCTTAGCTGCACAGTTCTAGATGGGGCATGTAGGTAGTGAAAAGTTGCTTTAATGTCTAGCTTTGAGCACTTGCCTGCTGGGGCTGTGGGTGAAGCCTGACAATCCCTATGGTGGTGACTCAGTTGATGCTGCTTTTCACTGATCTTGAAGGAAGGACTAGAATAATAATTTCATCATCTCAATATTGCTGTGGGGTGTTG